ATTGAGTAACCGGGAGAAATATTCAAGGCAAAGTACAAATAATAGAGGGGACATAGGGTCACCTTGGCGGATGCCCCTTTTCCCTTCAAAAAATCCATATAAAGATCCATTTAAAGAGATAGAAAATGAAGCCGTAGTAACACACTCCATTATCCATCCAATAAATCTCACCGGGAAGCCCAAACCCTTGAGAACCGAGTCAAGAAATTCCCATGAAATCGTATCATAGGCCTTTCGCAGGTCCACTTTGATCATACATCTCGGTGAGATCCGCTTCCTCATGTATCCCCTAACAAGTTCCTGGGCAAGGAAAATGTTATCTACCATGAGGCGGCCATCCACAAAAGCACCTTGGGCATGATCAATTAATCCCGGAAGACACGGAATTAATCTAGCCGCAAGGACTTTTGTGATGATCTTATATAAGACATTTGTACATGAAATGGGTCTATAGTCGGAGACCTTTGGGGAATGATTCGTTTTAGGGATAAGCGCTATCACAGTATGATTAATCTGTTTTAGCAACTTTCCCGAACGAAAAAATTCCTTAATAGCAAGGACTATGTCATCCCCAACCACATCCCAATTTCCCTTAAAAAATGCCGATGAGTAGCCATCCGGGCCAGGAGCCTTGTCATTGCCTATATCAAATAAAGCATTTTTAATCTCCACCGAGGTGACCGGGGCAATAAGGCTCGCATGGGCACTTGGCTCAATTAGCGGACCCGAAGGTAAAACCTCGGGGTCCAGGGCAAGACATGCACTATGTGTTCCAAACAAATCAACAAAAAATTTAACAAATTCATTCCCTACTTGATCCAAAGAGGTAGTAAGCGTACCGTCCTCCAAGGTAAGCGAAGAGATAGTGTTCCTGGCTAAATTTCTTTTTACGATTGCGTGGAAATATTTAGTGCACTTGTCCGCTTCAAGGATATGTGTAGCCTTTGCTCTTTGTTGGAAAAAGGTTGTCTCGGCCTCACCCAAAAAGATAGCCCTCTTAGAAGCTTCGGACAATTGGGCCTTAATAACTAGATCCCCCGGGTCTAGTAGTGCTAGTTTATGCAATCGTTTAAATTCCTCCTTTGCCATCTTAGCTTTATTTGAGATGTGGCCAAATTCCGTGGTATTAAGTAACTTTAGGGGCCTTTTGAGCCCCTTTAGTTTCTTTACCAAGGAGAATTGAGCCGTCCCATTAAAGCTTTGATTCCAATTCGTAGCTAAAATATTAGGAAAATCCGAATGTTTTAGCCACATATTAAAAAACTTAAATGGCTTGGGTCTAGAAGAGGAGTTTAGGAGTATGGACACAACGGAAGCCGTATGGTCAAACTCTACCTCCATTTCATGGAAATGGACCCTACAACCAATGCCATTAATACCCCATCCGTCATTAATTAAAACTCGATCCAATTTAGCCCAAAGCGCTCCTTTGTTCCATGTGAAGAACTCCCCCGTGGAGGGGGCATCTTGGAGGCTATTGGATAGTTTGAAGTCAAATAGGTGTTGCATAGCATACGCCGTAGGGGGGGTAGGACCCACCCTTTCATTAGGCGCGGAAATGCAATTAAAATCACCACAGACCATCCAAGGTTCACTTAATTGGTCCCCAATAGAGGTTAAGTGATCCCACAATTCCCTCCTTTCAAGTATAGTATACAAAGGATAAACAAAAGTCGTAATAAAAGATGTTTGCGTAATGCGACAGGTACATCTAGCATGCAAAAATTGCCTATCCTTTTCTAAAAATACACAATTAATCAAATTAGGGTTCCACATGATGCCAATGCGTCCCCCACCGATTAAGTCAAAATTATTATCAAAAATCCAACCCGGCCATTTATTTAAAACATAGTTATTAAAAGCGGCCAAGTTCATTTTAGTTTCCAAAAAACAAACTAGTGAAATATTATTCAATTTAATATAATAATTAATTAAATTATGTTTAGAGGTTTTGTTCAAACCTCTAACATTCCATACCAATAGCTTCGGCATCAAGAAAGATAAAGGTCTTTGGTGGTTCCACCCCTCTCGGCCACCTCCATCTTCTCACTCCTACGCTTCCTCCTCAAGTGTTCCTTATAGTAGCTAACATTGTGCTTGCTACTAGGATCAAAGAAAGAAAGCACATTAGCTATAAAAATAGGGGGGTCGAAATCATACCATGTGGAGTTGCACTTTACTCCCGGTAGCTTCAAGAAACAACTATGGGTGAAATAAACACCCGGATCATCTTCACTCTCCACCGGTAGTAGGTCGGGTCCCACTTTAACCAAGTGCTCCCCATCTTGAAGCTCATCAATGTCTATAATGGTAGCAAGAGGCCGTTTCTTCTCATCACAGAAAACACCGGTGACAATGTCCTTGGGGTCCATCTCGTGCATGCTTCTAATGACATAACCCCGCGGCATCCTCTCCAACATCTCCTTGCCCTCCTTATCCTTTGCAATCACCATAAGGTCGTGATGATCCTTTGAGAATCTAACATTAGGTCTCGGCCTAATGCTCAAAGAAGGGGTGAGTAGCTCCTTTGGAATAGTGATACCTTCATTAGACACCACTAGTTTTGAAGTGGAAGCTTTAGCCTTGCCCTTCTTGCGTACAACCTCAATAAATGGAGGTTCAACCTCCTCCACAATATCCTTGCCTTTGCCCACAAAACCGTCTCCCTTTTCCTTAGCCGCGGCTTGCACTGTCCCACCCTTATCTCCTGCCGCGGCATGCACAGCCCCACTCTTTGCTTCTGCCGCGGCGTGACTGGATTGTGCCATAGTGGCCAAGTGTGGGTGAAGCACCTTGCAAATGAAAGGATGGTGGCCGTAGGCCTTGCACTTGTAACAATAGTCCGGATAAGTTTCAAAGATAACCTTTTGAGTATACTCATTACCCGAGGGGGGGACAATAGGAAAGTCAAGCACCGGAGGCTTTGAAATATCTACCTCAATGAGAACCCGAGCATATTTCTTGAAAGTTTTTTCTTGGGTGACTTTATCCGTAGTGATGGGTACCCCAACTTGGGAGGCAATCATCCCAATTTCCGTAGCATGCCAAAGCCTTAAATGTAGGTTGGGAAATTTGACCCAAATCGGGACCTTTAGGAACTCTTCGCTATCAAATGAGAAATCATCGGAGAGTATCTTCAAGAACATGGTTTTACCATAAAGCACATAGGGCCCCTCGGTGAGCACCTTCGCCCTATCTTCTTCAGTCTTGAACTTGAAAACCACCCAACCCTTGCTATGCGGCTTCACATCTACTTGAACACCCCATTTCTTCGTCATGTCAAATATAGCCTTTAACCCCGGAAATCTACCGGAGAAGTGCCCCACCAAACAAAAGCCCCAAATTTCAATGAGAGTCGGGACCTTGAGATGAGAGAAGTCCAATTTCTGTCCGGTAGGTGGGAAGTATTCGAGCTTGAGCCCATTAGAAGGGGCTCGGTTATCACGAAAGAAGGAGACATATTCTTCCTTGTAATTCTCCCCATCCTTGGACGAGTTTGTGTCTTGGGAGCCAAGCGTAATAGACCCCTTAGCATCCCCATCACCATCATGAAGGGCAAGTGATAACTCCCTCGAAACTGCGGCATTCACAGAAGTGGAGTCCACCTCCTGCACTGTCCCAGCAATCAGTCCTGCCGCGGCCTGAATGTTTTGTGCCGCGGCCTGAATATTTTGTGCCGCGGCTTGAGAGTTTTGTGCCGCGGCCTTTCCACCAAGCCCAGCTGATTCCGCGGAAGCTGCATAGTGAGTGATTTGTGCCGCGGCATTGTCACCTTCCCCACCCAATTCCGCGGATGCCGCAGAGTGACTGAGTTGTGCCGCGGCCTGAGTACTTTGTGCCGCGGTTTGGAAAAGAGTCCCATTGGAGGAGACAACAGGGAAGGACGGAGTTGGGACCTTCGACGGGGCAATCCTCCTCTTCAGTTGTTCAGCCTCCATAGCAGCTTTCCTGGCCGCCAATAGCTTGACTTTATCGTCAAACGCCTTGTCCTTTGCCGGTGGGGTCCTCTGCTGCTTGTTCTTCCTGGTCATGGCTAGGGCACGCCGAGGAAGACGATGAACAGTAACCCTCTCCAACAAAAGTGCTCAGAAAAATCTGGAAAAAATATATGTTGTTCCCCTGGTGATGGCGAGTCTCCCTATGGTCTTCGTTTTTACCCAGACCCTGCACAAACTCAGAAAACAATTAACAATCAGTTCATACCTGCGCACAAGTGAACAGGGATGAACAGTGATGCTTTTTTGAAATCCTTCGTTGTAGCAGCTGTAATGGGTATCAAAATGACCGCAAGGATAAGGCGATCTCCAGGGTATGCTTAGAATTCAAAATGGTCCAACAATGAGGGAGAAATCTGCGTTTTTCTCTTCGCCTGTGAACAGTACTCGCGAATAACGGCTAGTTCGTAACTCCCAGATTACTGATCAGCAAGCTACAAAACCGGTGCCCCTGGGTTCGCCTAGGGTAGGCGACCCCCACCCAAGTCCTTTTTTGAGCAAACAATCGTTGAGATTTGAATTAATCTTCAAAACAGTTTCTGCGATGAACAGTGCAATTCTGCGACCCAGTTCTCGGATTTTTGACCCAGGCCCTTCAAAATTCACCCAAACCACAAATCCAAACGTGGATTAATGATCTATGATGAATTCCGAGCTAGGAGGAACAAGAATCAACGAAAAATGATCGAGGAAATTAAGAGCAATCGAAGAGAGAAGTTCCGGCGAGCCTATGGGAAATCCGACCGTTGGGTGCGAGATTTTCCTAGAGAGAAGTCAGAGATTCTCAACGCCGAACACTGAACTGAGAGCTCTTTACTGAGAGCTCTTTCGAGATTCTATGGGTGGTGGTGCATGGCCGTTCTTAGTTGGTGGAGCGATTTGTCTGGTTAATTCCGTTAACGAACGAGACCTCAGCCTGCTAACTAGCTATGCGGAGGTATCCCTTCGTGGCCAGCTTCTTAGAGGGACTACGGCCTTTTAGGCCGCGGAAGTTTGAGGCAATAA